ATTCAACCACGTTTATCTCAAACTGGTTTAAGCCATTTTCAAACTGGTTTACGTGCAATGAACATCTGTTCTGTTACAGGTTTAAACCAGTTTCTGATCACTTAAACCAGTTTATGTGTAATGTCTGTCCCTAGCTTATTTTTTCATCTCTGGATTAGGTCCAAAAACAGAAGGGGGCCTATTTTCTTGTTTAGCTGTGGCTAAAATCTTGTAACAATAATCATTCCTGTACAAGTTTGACTCAGGCTATAGGAGGCCTCATAAGATCTTCTCGCACAAGATATCCAGCACCTGGTAAGACAACCTCGTTGAACAGCTCTTAAGGTTTTGACATCATTGAAAGAAAATCTGAATCCTAACTCAGCTTGAGTTTCTGACCTGAGCTTCAAAGTCTAGCCTAAAATGAATCTGGTCCTGAACTCTCTCTCTTTGGTCTACATGTATACAGGGAGCAATGTAGAGAAACAAAAAGATCTCATTAAATGTTAACTTCCGACGAAGAGCATTGCGCACCTGTGATCTCCTATGTATTATTCTGCTTGCAAAGATGAACTCAAAGTCCACTGGGTGGAATTTAAACCTCTGTTGCTTAGCTAACCATAGGAACAAGGCGTTACTATGGAAAATTCCTGATTAAAGCCTGCAAAGAATTTCCTATGCAGGGGCTGTTTATTAATAGGTACCTCAGGCTTGCTTCTGACATTGACAGTTCTGCCCTTTAAACGCATCCTTTTGCAAGCAACGTGATAAAATGCTGCACTCTTTTTGCACTAGGGGAGACACTGTCCCATTGCTCCCCGCCAAGCCTCTCTCATCTGTAACAGCTACAGTTTGCTTTGCTGAGCACAGGAACAAAAACTGCAACCATGAAATTATTTTAACAAGACCATAAAACAACAACAACAACAACAACAATTTGCCTAAGTGACGCTTGGAAAAAATAAACTCCCTTCTCTAAACTAATTAAACTGTACTATGTGTCCTTGTGTAGTTCCTGGCGTTTTTCTGGTTCACTCAGTTTCAATAGATACACAAGGACCGGAGCCAGGGCTCCTGAATGACTTGCTCAGAACAAAAGCAGGTCTCCTGAGTATTCTTGAGCAGCCAGCAAATTGAGGGGAAGTTATTTTGGGTTAATCAATGTACTTCAGTTGCAATCACACTTAGCTTCTAACAGAGCAGGCTGCAAACAAGGCATTACTGTTCTGGGCCCAACTATGGACAGGACTGGAAAGCGGCGCTGGCCAGACTATGCTCTTTTTGTAATGTGTCCTGAATTTAGTTTGGATGTTTTAAGTGTCATCTTCATTTGCATTTTTCCCCTGGTTATTTATTTATTTATTATTGGCATTGGGAGGCTGGGAAATTATTGGCAGCGGTTTGAATTCTCCCCTGCAGCGACTTTCTAGCTGTGTTCTAGGCAGGACGGCCATATGGAACTGGAGTAATTGTGATCAGTGGTCAGTTTTTTGCTGCATAAACAAAGTAAATCTTTGGTTTATGTAGGAGATGTTTTAAAATGCTTTTGTTGCAACTGTTGAGGGGAGGTACCAGCCTGAGCAGCGCTTCCTAGAGGGCAGGCTTAATATTACCGCAGGAGGAGCTCTGCATAATGGCTGAGAATAGCTCTACTTACTGAGGTACCTAAATGGAAGCTGGGCTGTCTCCAGCTGAGGATCCTGAGTGGTGAAAAAAACTGATGACAAGCTCCTTTTTGCAAATCTGGCCCATTGCATACAAGGTGTAAAGGGAGCCTGCAGTTTCTGTCTTCTGGTCCCATTGCAAGAGGCCTTCTGATATGGTAGAGCCCAGTGTGTTTCCTGCTAAATTGTTGCTTCTGCCATAGTTTCTTAGCTACTTCAGCCATCTGTTGCCACCTAGTTATCTGCTATTCTGCCCCCAGACATGAGATACTCTAGTTCAGGCAGGTTGGCTGTGCTGGAAGGACTCTCCCGATGGACACACTTCCATCTCAATGGAAACCTTCCCCCTCCATCCTGCAAACCATGGTTAAGATTTGGCTTGTGCCATGCTTCCAGTCAACTTCCTGGTGCTGATAGGAAAGGGGCCACTGGTTTTCACTTGTCTTTTAAAAGTGTGATCACACAAGGTCTTGGACATAGTCTGTCCTTGGTGAACCGTGCAGACTCAGGGGGCACTTGGTGGCTTCCTATAAGTATATAAGGGATGTACATCGGGATCTAGGGGAACGCCTGTTCACCAGAGCATCCCAAGGGACAACAAGGTCAAATGGTCACAAACTCCTCCAAGACCGTTTCAAGCTGGACATAAGGAAGAACATCTTTACTGTCTGAGCCCCCAAGGCCTGGAGCAGACTGCCCCCAGGGGTGGTGCAAGCACCTACTCTGGACTCCTTTAAGAGACATTTGGATGTTTATCTTGCTGGGATACTGTGACCCCAGCTGACTACCTGCCCCTGGGGCGGGGGGCTGGACTCGATGATCTTCCGGGGTCCTTCTAGCCCTAATGTCTATGAAATCCATGAACTCATGTAGGTGTCTAGAGCACATGGTGAATAATCTGTAAATTTGCCTGACTCCTTGCATTTAAAAATTGAATCTGATCAGGCCAGATTATAGGGCTTGTCCTAGACAAGCCACAATCCTTCCCATCACAAGTGCCATGGAGTCCGTTTGCATCCTGAGTTCCAGGTCTTGAGGATCAACAAAATTCTGTTCTTGAGTACTGGATTGAATGAAAGCACTTGTTCTAATTAGACCTTTTGGAGTCTGAGCCTCTGTGCAGTGCCTTTATGCCAAGGCCGAGTTGCAGTGCTGAGCTCTTTCGCCTACCTATGTCTTCAGCATCTGCTGCCAAACTTGTGCTTCCCAAGTGGGGCCAGAGCAGTGTCTCTGTCTCTTAACCTGTCCTCTACCTGCCATAATCTTCTCTTGTCAGCACAGGAATTTCCCCTGGGGTCACAAGCCAGGGCTCTTTAATTTGACGACACAGGTGTGTGGGGAGAGCTATAAAAAATATGAGTTACTGGAAAATGAAAGTGATGTTCTGTATTGATAGCAAACTAATTAGGGGAATAGTAAAGTCGTGTGTGTGTGCATGCATGTGTGCCACAACTCCAATTCCATGCACCAATGGACTTTGGAGCTAGATCCAAACTTCACAGTTTTGAACTGTCATTTATGGGCAGGTGTAAAGTGTACACCATGCTAACTGGGGTGGGAAGGGGGAGTCCTTTATTAAGCATGTCTGTAGTATAAGTACTAAAACTGAATTTGGTTGAAATTAAGAATATACTTAAATATTTTACTGGATTAAAGCCAGAGAATTCTGCCCCTTGTAGAATTGAGCCCTTGAACAGTGATTCTCAACAAGGGTGCCACAGCACCCTGGGGTGCCACAGCAATCCTGTCAAGGGTACTGTGGAGTGCCATGCCATGTAATGTTTGCACTGTTAGGTGTGGATGTATAATTCATAGGATAAACTCAGAGATTTCAAACAGGAATATATAGCATTTAAACATTCTGGCCTGTTGTGGTCTTTCTGATTTTTTTGTAATGGAAGAGCTAATAAAAGATACCACTCTACCACAAGTTCTGATTCCTTTTATAACAGAGGATGCATTCTGTTATTCTTCTGCAGTAAAAAAACGTGAAAACTAAAAGGTGGCATTTTCTGAGGGGTGCTCTGAGTCTAACAAGGAGTGCCTCAGTTCTGTCTAGGGGTGCCTGGAGCCTCAAAAAGTTGAGAACCAGTCTGGCTTGAGACTCACAATCAGCTGAGGGTGAATGAAAACACACATGCACTTACACGTGTGTACACACATGCACACACGTCACCCCTCCCCCTATAAATATTACTTTTGTTGTCTCTAGTATGCTGTGGAAGGATAGGATCTTCTGTGGGTGAGACCTTCTGTTTCAGAGATTTACAATCCATCTGCTCTGGAATTCGATGTGTGCGTTCTCTAGCTCAGTTCCTTCTGTTAAGTTGTGTGTTTAAGCGTTGTTTAAAAATGTCTTTATCTGCTTTTGCTTGTGCTGTATTTGTAGAATTCTTGGGTAGAAGCCATGTCTTGGTATCCCATGGCTTTCTCAATCATGGCTTTCTCTGCTTGTTGTGGTCTGCACCCCTGTGCTCTGTACTGGTTGCTTCAATTCCTCTAACTGGGGGCTTGGAAGGGAATTAATTTTCTCTTCCTTTTCTTCTCTTCCCTTAGCTTCTCCTTACACAGTTTCCTCTTGGTATTATATGTCCAGATTTACTGTTTTCTAGAGATGGGCTTCAATCAAAGTTCTAGACCTGAAAGACTTTGAAAGACTTGATTCATTAAAGTAATGTCAGCCTCTGAACTTTCAAAGCATTTCATGGGGCTGTTAGCTATGCTACTTCTTAAAGCCAATGGGGAACTGACACAGCCCAAATTCTCTATTCAATGATTTGAAAAGGTAAGAGATTAAAATCTAACTTAACTTGACACAGAATAGAATACATTTCTTCTGAGAACTATGGCACTTTGTTTAACCCCCCTCCTTGTCACCTCTTATGAAAGGATGTTGATAGAGAAAAGCACCAAAAGGCGAAGAACTCCTATGTTCTGTCCCAGCATTGCCACTGATTCACTTTGGTAAATCACCCTTTACCAGCCTATGCCACAATTTCCTGATTACTAAAAGTGGGTAGTAGTACCAGCCTCACTGGGTTATTATGGGACTTAAATAAACTGTGCTATAATGGCCTTTCATAGCCTTAATAAAAAGTGCTGCATGACTTGGAAATGCTCTTATTGTACCCAACTTTTGCACTGGTTTTCTCTAAATCACTGATGCAAGAATGACCCTGAATTTTCTAGATTTTGACAATTTCAGTTAGGATTCCCTTTCCTTCATGTTATCTTAGCACACTTGTTTATGAGTCTTAATACAATGGGTATTTTATTTTATTCTGGTAAGTCGCTCTAATTAGATTAAGCTGTTTGTATAACTGACGGGTCAGATTTCTCAACTAAATTTGACATTTACAGTCTTATTCTGTCATCTTTATTGGATTAAATCTGGATCAAGAGGAATCATTTACTGGGGCAACATTATGACAGGCACACAACAAAACTCCTGTGTGCTGTTCTTTGCTTGTGTCATGTGGGAGGCTGAGGCTTCTGTCATGTGTGGCACTGAGAGATTTTACAGAGTGATTCGCAAACTTCCTGGCCATTGGTCAACTATAGCTTCTCTTGACTGAAAGTTGTAACCAGCAAAATGTATTTTTTTGAGTTGCTTATTCTGAACACCTTACAAATGCTTGTGAACTTTGCCTTATGGTTCTTGCTACGATCTTCCACTTGGTTGGCAGGCTGAGTATGTTCAGATACTGAACTTTCCTCAGAGACTTCTGGTGGTCTCTCCAGTTAGAGGTGATGTATGTTTATTAATGCTAACTCAAAGCATGCAAGAATCATGAGTCCTTTTGCAATCATGAGATCTAGAAAAAACAGAAGATGTGATTTTCAGTTAACTGGAAGATTCCTGAACTGGGGACTTCAAAAAACAAAACAACATAACAACCCCCCCCCCCACCAAATACCTAAAACAGAGGAGCTGTAAAAATGTATTGCACAAAATGTATTGCCCATGATGTCTCCTTGCAGCTGTATGTCACAAAGGAAACTTAGCTACCCAACTGTCAGTGGAGTCCTTCCCCTACATCCCTTTGAGCCTTTGAAAATCTCTTCATAAAGGGGTCATATTGCTTACTGCAGCTCATTGCAGTCCTATTTCAGGTGTTTTGCTTTGCCCTGCCAGCTCAGACAGAACTAGAGTGACCACCTTTTCAAAATGCAGAGGTGAGACACATGACCCCTCCTCTCCAGGTGGCATAGCCAGAGCGGAGCTGAGCGGAGTCTGTGGGGGGCGGGAGAGGATGCAGGCTGCCCACTGAGGGTCTCAAGACTGCCCATGCTGCTGCCCTCCCCCCAGCGGCCTCCACAGGCCAGGGGGCAGGACCTGGTGTTGGAGGGTGGAGGGGGTTGGTGCTGCATTCACTGCTGGGAGCCCTGCACCAGCAGTGCCACAAAAGTGAGGCACCCCTGTCCACCCAGCAGCAGTGGGAGCAGTGGCGGCAGCATGGAGTTGTGCCCCCCCACTACTGCCAGGTGGGGAGGGGGTACCTCACCATGGTAACGTGGGTGGCATGGGGCTCCCAGCGGTGGCAGCACCACCAAGCTTCCCTGCCCTGCTCCGCCCCCCCCCCCCAGATTTGTACATAGGCATTCCTGCCCCAACCCTGGCACCGCCCTACCTGGGCAGCACTCCTAGCCACCAATCTAGCCCCAACCCCAGCCCCCAATCCTGCCCCACTTCCTCCCTCACTGAGGGGGTCTCAGTCTGCTCTCCCACCCTCCTCTCCCTGCCCCCATATGCCCCATTCCCCTCACAGACTTACCTGTAGGCAGCCGAGGGACCTGCTTTCTGCTGCCTGGCTGTATTTCTGGCCACATGCATGTGCACACACACACACATGCACATGGCACTTTGTAACGGGGGGACTTCCTGCTCACCTGTTTCTGGGCTAATGATCCACCTCCTTCTCCTGCCATGCCTTGATGATACATAATTATGGTGTTAATTAGGGGTGAGGCTGCCCATGTTTGCACCCCAATGCCAAGGGGTGTTGTCTGTGGCTCTGAACCTTCCTTACACCGCAGCCAGTGCCTCGCAGATGGCATCTAAGCTGTTAACATCTCTAGCCCCACACTGGGCCCCATAACCCTCCAGTCTGGACCCCAGCTAGATCCCTCCTAATCAGGTGGCCACTTCACCCTCATTCTGGGCTGCCTAGTTCCCTGCCCTCTTCCCCCTCTCGGGTGTGAACCCCCCGGGACCTTTGGGCACACAGGCCCTGGCCTCACCTCCAAGGCCAGTCGGAACCGCTGGCCCTCGACTCTGGCGTCACTTGCAGTGGGCCTCTGGCCCTTTTGACCCTTCTGGTCCTGGCCTCAGCATTGAGCAGTCAAGGGTATCTCAAGTCAGGCTTCTGAGCAACTATCCCACGCTCTCTGCCATGGATCCGCCTTTTCAGGCCCTACTGTGGGGTTATTCACCCAGTTGTCGGGGCTGGGGTTATTAAGGGACCCCGACCCATCTTTCAGCAGGGTGGTAACTGGCCTGGCATTTCCTGGGGGCTCCCACAAGACCAGAAGCCCCACCAGGCCACCCATCCCAGGCAGGGTGCAGTTTTAGGTCATGCCCAGGACCAGAAGCCTCCAAAGCATCCCCATAAGCACCTGCCCTTACCTCCAAGCTGTTCCGGAGCCAGAGCTCTGACCGTTGATGTCCCTCTCACAGCAGCCAAAAGCAAACTGCTGCTTCACTCTATATGTATCCTGGGTCTCAAAAAGGCCGCCGTACTCAAGCACCTGGCTGCTGCCTGCTCCAGCCGTTGAAGTGGCAGGCACCAACAGTGCCCTGCCTCATATCCCCTGCGTCCCACTCCCCACAGCCTGAAGCAGCCCCTTTCAGGCTGGAACTCTGCCAGCCTGCAAGGGGAAACCTACCATTTCCTGTGTTTTTCCCCTTCAGAGGAGAAAATCCACATTTTTTTCCACAGCAAACCTGGATTTGTGAACATCATACTGGGATTATAGCTGACTGTGCGAAGGGGAATCTGGAACAAATGCTGAATTATGAAATGTGGGGACATGGAATACAAAAGGTGCTGCAGCACTCTGGATTCTGCTTAGCAAGCTCCAGCAGACTCGATCTGAACATAAGACAACGCACCCCCATACATACGCTCCCTGCCACACACTGCTGCAGGATTGGTTTCTCAAACTGTATTCAACAGTATCCTACTTACTGATGTAACAATGGATGCCATGCATGTGCTATTTGTGTTGCTCTGTGTACACAAGCATGAGGTAGGGTTTATCCGTGTCCATATTTATCATTTATAATTGCCCTCAGCACTTTGTCAGCTTGCCCCATAGCAGTGAAAACTCTCCATGTCCCTTTGAAGACTTATAATGCAGAGAAAACACATAAGTGGGCCATTGAATTTCTTTGAATTCTTTATTAATAGAACAAAAAAAGGCAGGAGCCTTTCCTACTTCATACCACGTTTAGATTAGGCAGCGTATATTCAGCCTCTCAAGCCTGTCCTCAAGAAAGAGAATGTGGCAGTTCTGTCACTAATCTGGTTTACCCAGGTTTTATGGTTTTGGATATACTCAGAGATGCTGCAATGACTCAGACTAAATTGCTGCTTTGTCTGAGAGACGCAATTTCTCTGGGTAATGAGTTGATCATAGCTCTGATTAGCTTTTGCTGCAGTAATAATAACCAATGGGTGCTGGCAGCAATGGATGGTTGGAGGCTTTGTTAAACAGAAAACATGGCGAGGACCTTGCATGGCAAAGGGATATTAAGTCAAATGAATTAATGGCCAAGGGGATCAAACAAAGTTGTCTTTTTCTTCCTTTAGTTACCTACTTCCACTGCTCCGTAGCAGGCTTCCCCCAGCTACTCTGAGAGAAAGTGAAGGTGCCTGCAGACGCATTTGCCCTCCCCTTATTCTGGCAGTGCAAGGTAGGGCTCTGGGGGCCATGAAGTAACATTTGCCTAAACGTGAGCTAGTGAAAGGTTCTCCACACTGTTTAAACCCTACATATGGGTTATGGTGAGGCATCTGCTTGCACAAAAGACCGCCTCAAAGGTGGTCCAAGGTGCAGGCACCCTTTTTCTGTGCTGAAACAGAACTAGTCACCCTTTGTATAATTAGCTGTGTATGGCTGTGACTGGCTATTTCAGCCCTCAGGGAATGGCAGGTGTGGCAGAGGCCGTGCAACATCCCCCCCCCCCGCTGGCACTGGGCCGGGGACTGGTGACGTGTATGTTGCTTCTGTGCTTCAACTAAGAAAAGCCCAAATGAATTTCACCCCAGTCCCATGTTCATTTTCCATGTGATGATTCACAAAGGTACGTGACAGAGCTCTTGTCTCCAGCAAACGTGATATGAGAATCCAGCTGGATACCAGTGACATGTTGTGCTGCTATTAATTCAAACTGAAATTCCAGTTTGATCAGGCCATCTTCAAAGCCCTTCTGTGGTCATTCCCGTGCAGTTAAGTATTGCTAGCACAGGTGTTGGTGGAAAGCGAATGCTAGGCTCACATACTCGAGGACCCCCAGAAAAGTCAGCTTTAAATGGGCTTTCCACAAGCATGTGCACTAGAAAAAAAAAAGTCACCAAGAATTTTTTCTCATCCAGTCATCAGAGCAGAAGTGGTACCACATGATTGATGAGACCAATCACAACTGGAATGAGGATCAAATAGCAAGACAGATTAAAAAAAAAAAAAAAAAACAGCAACAACTGTCAAATGATTTTGAACACCAAATATATAGATGACAAAAATGCCATCTGCTCATCTTTTGTCGACAAAGAGCAAGACTGTTGTTTGCCTATGTGTCCATGCCAGCCACCCACATCACAGGTCCCCACCTCTGTAGGGCTGTGTGTAAACTGGTACATTCTCTTACCGTCCTAGGAAGGAACCAGTGCACGAATGCCCATTTCCACCTATTGCCCAGGGCACAGTTTATTAGGGCACAAAACCTCACAGGTACCACAGAAACAAAACAACTCCCCCCATCTTAGTTGCAGATTTTCTCCTAGCTTCTCTTGGCACACTGGAAAGAGGATGAGTCCTTCCCCTAAAGCTGTTGCTGGGTCACGTATCAAAGGTACCTTTTCTTAGCTGCTTTGCTGTATTGAGGCCTCTATTCCTTTCTTGTGTAGATAGCCAGGGAATGAGTGGGCTGATGGGAAATGGGCAAAGCCTTGACTTCATGCCTAACGCAGGTGCAGAGGGAGAAGTAATCTGCTAACCTGACCCTATCTCTGGGGTCACATTTTGATTCTCAGCTAGGGTGGCCATCATAGAGGACATTCCTGTTTTCTGCTACTCTGTCCTCTACTGATATGAAACCCGATGCCTTTACGTCCTCCATTTTTCTCTACAAGAGAAAAATAGAGGACGTAAAGGCATCGGGTTTCATATCAGTAGAGGACAGAGGATAACCAGACTGTCCTCTGTGATGGCCACCCTACTCTCAGCTCTAGAGGCAGCACCAGTGCCTATTTCTGAGGGCATTGCATTCTTACCATCAGCTGCTGAAGAAGTATATTTACCTCATAAATATTTTGTCACAAATTATTTGCTCAGCTGTGCAAAGAAACCTTGTTCCTCTAGTAACTCCTCACCCCACCTAACATCTATGACAAGAACCCAATGTCACCCTCCTGTGTTCCCCCAAAAGCTCTGGTGACAGTGCCAACCACCCCTTTTTCTAAGCCATAAGCAAACATTTGGTCAAGGAAGCCAGTGCCTTCTTGCTTTGCTTACAGTGAATGCCCACGGCAGTAGCCAACTGCCAGCTTTCTAACTCTATGTCAATATAATACTTTCCATGTCAACCTCACCA